CAGACTCCGGGACCTTGATTTCCAAAGGAAATGCAAAATTTACTTTCATCAGAGAACATAACTTTGGACCACTCAGCAGCAGTCCAGTCCTTTTTGTCTTTAGCCCAGGCAAGACGCTTCTGATGCTGTCTCTTGTTCAAGAGTGGCTTGACACAAGGAATGCGACAGCTGAAACCCATGTCTTGCATACGTCGGTGCGTGGTGGTTCTTGAAGCACTGACTCCAGCTGCAGTCCATTCTTTGTGAATGTCCCCCACATTTTTGAATGGGTTTTGTTTCACAATCCTCTCCAGGGTGCGGTTATCCCTATTGCTTGTACACTTTTTTCTACCACATCTTTTCCTTCCCTTCGCCTCTCTATTAATGTGCTTGGACACAGAGCTCTGTGAACAGCCAGCCTCTTTAGCAATGACCTTTTGTGTCTTGCCCTCCTTGTGCAAGGTGTCAATGGTCATCTTTTGGACAACTGTCAAGTCAGCAGTCTTCCCCATGATTGTGTAGCCTACAGAACTAGACTGAGAGACCATTTAAAGGCCTTTGCAGGTGTTTTGAGTTAATTAGCTGATAAGAGTGTGGCACCAGGTGTCTTCAATATTGCACCTTTTCACAATATTCTAATTTTCTGAGATACTGAATTTGGGGTTTTCATTAGTTGTCAGTTATAATCATCAAAATTAAAAGAAATAAACACTTGAAATATATCAGTCTGTGTGGAATGAATGTATACATTATACAAGTTTCACTTTTTGAATGGAATTACTGAAATAAATCAACTTTTTCATGATATTCTAATTATATGACCAGCACCTGTATATACACATATACCAGCTGCCAAAACAACTTGTACAATACAAAATAAGAAGACATAGGATATATATCCCAAAAGAAGACTGGGTAAAATGTTCTCTTTTATCAAAGGCATACTTAGTGATTTGTATTTTTGCAGTATTTGTGCAGTTCACTGACAAAATATAATTCTGGCTTCCCCCCAGACAGCAAGAAATCAGCAATGCAAATACTATGAATTTGAGTATTAAAATAAAAAACTCCCTCTATGTCAACAAACACAGGCAAACAGTAGTTTCACAACATCAGCACACACTTGGCTCATTGTGATCAAGCAAAGGTCGACAGGCCTTCAGCTCAGACAGACACTAAGTTGTAAAGTAGATAGTTGACAACTTTCGTTCAGTCTGTGAATCTCTCCGTCAGCTGAGTGGTTCAAAGCACCACTCATTGGGCTGTCATCTTCTCTTGGCTCTCAATTACAAACTGTAAAAACATGACAGCTGTTCTAGAAAAGTTGTTATATTTCTCACATGAATTTTAGAGCCCAAAGAAGGCTTCTCTGTCTCAGGATATTTCATCTTTTCCTTTGGCTTATTTTTTTTTAAATAGTTAACACAGTTTAGAAGCTCAGAGAGGTCACAGGTCATGACCAGTGCCACACTTATCCCACAGGCTAAATAGATTGTTTTCATGGGAGACATTTTGACATGTCACAGCAGGAAAAGCACAGGTGAAAATACTGAAATACACAATGACTGAATTCCATGCAGCTGCTTCAGTTTCAGGGTCCTGGTATTGTGCTGTAGAGTAGAATATAGGCTAATACATCTTTATTGTCTGCCAGGGGTGGAAATTTGTATCTGGCTTACTAGACACAAAAGACAACACTGTAAAAAGTAGACAAATAGTCAGTAAAACAAACATAAGGTCATTACAAAACACTTAACACATTAAATCAGCCCAGTGTCTGTCCGTGGTTTAAAACTCATCTGTCACTTTGTTGGGTTAAGGATACAGATTGCATTTGGGATGAAGGACTTCTTAAATACTCTTTTAGCTGTCAGAGGGACTCTATAGCGCCTCCTGGAGCTCAAGAGCTCGAACTGGCTGAAAGGATGGTTGCTCTCTGCCAAGGTACTCATCCTTTCTGTTAAGAGATGGGTCAAGGGCCTTTGAGGCTTGTCAACTATTTTACTTGCCATTGTCACAATCCTAGAGAGTTTATTCTTGAATGTACAGTTAAGATGACCATATGAAGCAGGGAGGTGAAAAGTTAAAACATTGTCTAAAACACTAATCTATCCATCCATCCATTTTCATCCGCTTATCTGGGGCTGGGTTGTGGGGGCAGCAGGCCAAGCAAAGCACCCCAGACATCCCTCTCTCCAGCAATGTTTTCCAGCTCCTAAGGCTTTCCCAGGCCAAATAGATATGTAATCCCTCCAGCGTGTCCTGGGTCTAGTTTTGTACACTAATTCTAAAATCTGCTGACTAACACCAAGGCCACTGAGTTTGCTAAGAAGATAGCAGCTGTAAACATCTCTTGAAAATATACTCAGTATTTCCACAGAAGCTCACGTGGAGTCCAGAACCATACTAAGGTATTCAAAATTTTATGCAGTTTCAACGTGTTGGCCTTCAGGTGAAAATGGATCTGTCTTCAGAAGTTGTTTGTGCTAATAATTCTCTAGTCTTGGCCACATTTATTTCCAACTTGCTGATGTGACACCATGTTTGAAGGGCCTTAGTGTGAGCCAGGTCGGCAACTTCACCCGCTGGGTCTGTTTTCTGTAAGAGACCAACTAAAGCCATGTTGTCTGCATATTTAAACAACTTGTCTACAGTGAAAAGGTCTCTTATATTTCACTGTTTTTTTTTCCAGGGTTGCATCTAATAAAATAAGTAGATAAATAAAGTGTAGCTTGTGTCTTTGTCAGGCTACACAATCAAAGAAACAGGGCTTCATTTATGATTTGCAGGGTTTGCTTTATTGCATTTTAATGGAAAAAAATAAGTGCAAAGCTAAAGGGTTCAGTGCTTTAGAGACAGTCATACAGTATATTAACCATTGAATTACCAGGTGTCTTTACTGTCTTTTTTTGTCAGTCTTAACTATGCTCGTACATATAGGAAAATATGACGTAAACTGGAATGATCTTCTATTTCAGGGTGTCGACCTCCATTTCAGCCAAAGATGGTGTTGTTCCAGCCCACATTGGCTGCATCCATGTCTACAAAGTTAATGTAAATCCTGAAATAAACACAAAGAGAAATAGGTTAATGAGATTGGAGCACGGTATGTGAGATACAGGAGTATTTAACTCAGCAAGTTTTGGTCACCATGTTAACTTTACTCATCAAATTATGTGCAGTAATAATAGTAAATCAATTTATATAGCAGTACAAATAGAAATACAAAACAAATAGATATACATATGTGTACAAATATGTACATGCATTCACACAAATAGGCACGTACATAAATACACCCATACTGTAAACACACGTGCTCTGTGCAAAAGCTTATGCACATATGCACAAAACACATATATTCATATACAGACACTTAACATATTCTACCTTACAGAAATCACCTCCTAAAAAAGGGTTTTTAAACTTTTTTAAAAAGTGAATACACAAGTGGATGATCGTATCATGACAGGAAGTGCATTCCAGAGTTTGGGAGCATACGGATCTGGTTGCTGTGTTTATTCATACCTGTCAGGAGAGATGCCCAGGTGTTTGTTGAGCAGTCCACACAGGAGTTTGGAGTATTGCTTGTTGTGAGCACCGCTGATCTTGCCAATACTGTGGAGGGAGCAAAGAGCACAGGGGTCTCCCTTTCCTCCAAACAGCATAATTTGGTCAGCGTTAATATGCACGGCAATGTACTGGAAGACAGAGACACAAAATGAGACAGTTTCAGCATCATCGGCTTGAAGGGTGTAGCAAGGATTTTATTACATAGTTAAGTCATGAGTCCAAATTCCCCCACTGCAACCCAACTCTGTAGACATTTCAAACAAGTTACCAAAATATCTGTTTGACTTACAATATTTTCTCTACATAATGACCTAAATGTTCTTTAATATCATTCTGGTGGAGAAATGTGGAACCTCTGTAACATATTTTAACTAATTTATTTCCCAGAAAACACCTTCAGTGGCAGCTACACCTGACTAAATACAGATATTAATATAAATATTTAAAGGTGTGCAGTCCAGATCAGCTTGTTGTGAACATCTTGCTAGTTGCACTGGTTAAACCATGGCCTATACTGTGATGAAGTGACATAGATCACTGATACCAACTTTAAATTTTGGTGGCAAAATATTTTTTTGTTATGAACATTCTGGAAGGATGTAGTATCCAGTACAGTTGCATGACATGACAAAAAGATTTAATATTAAACTGTGGGTTTGGTGAACTTACGCAGCAGATCAATCATCTACCAACTTTGCAAATAATAGTCTGGATTTTGTTTGCATAGTTGCACAAGAAGCTCGCCTTATTCATTCAGCAGAGGGTCATGTGATCTCTACTTTTAACTGCAGTTAAATGTGAATAGCAGGTGTTGGTTGCACTGCACTCTATGTAGAAGTTAAACCTATCAAGCTGATGCAGAAGAAATAAAGGCAGATAACCTGTTTCATTGTGAACCCCAGGTTAGTACAGGGTCTGCAAATGCGCCCCTGGCCTACCTACCTGTGCAGGTTTGCCCATGGCTTTGGCCAGCTCATCCGTAGCCTCGGACAACAGAGCCGTCGGTACATCACTTTTGGCCACGTTGGTGTTCACAATAAACATCGGCATGATTGCTCCTTTTTAGAGTCGTCTTTCTCCCCTTGTTGAACACACGGTGCCTCTCCAAGCTGCAGGTGCTGTGACTCTGCCCCAGGCGGAAGACTTCTTCTTCTCTTTTTTAATGCGTGCAGTCATGCGGAAAAAAAGACCACAGCGCCTCCTTCAGTCCTGGAAGACACCTCCGTTGACACACGCTAAACAGAACGACAGCCAAGTAGTAGCTAAGTATTTTTGTGTTATTATTTCCTTATTTTGTTCACACTTGCTCACAAATAACACCACATTTACAGTCTTGGAAATCTGGGGCGCATATGTGCTTTCCAGGGTGCGGCTGTTCTCGAGTGTAGGGTAATTACGGTACTGGGCATGCGCAGTGTTCTCAAGCATCATTAAGCAGTGCCGAAGGAGGAGGCGAGGGAGAGAAAGCAGTGGCAGGGAGAGAGAGGGCAGAAGTTGGATGGCGCTTTCCTTTGTCACCGTGTCTCCGTGCCTGTGATCATCGAGCGAGCCTATCTGCGATCCGTGAAATCACACCGTCTGTCGCCGTTTCACGTCCAAGCGACCCCGCCAGATTTCATCCAAGAAACGGTGCGTATACAGAGCTAAATTAGCCAGGCTGCTAACACGATCACTTTCCAGAAGGAGAGGTTGCTGCTCCTCTTCTCCTCAACGTAATTGTGTGTCGGTGTCATTACAAGTTTACTAACAAGCTAACCTGACGCAGGCTGTGTATTCAGTGTTAAATGATTCAAATAGAGCTGCTGTGTTGTCTTTAATTAAACGATGCAGAGGTGCATGTGTGTATCAGCTGTACTATATTATAAACAGTAGCTGCTAGCTAACCAATAAAGTTAATGTTCCTAACTGACATGTATTGTATATATTAAGTGGCTATGGCTGTGTATTAGATTGACACTGTGAAACTTTCTCAGTGGGAGCTAATGGTGATGACACGCTGCCTTGACAACACAAACTGTTATTGATCTACCATCAGGTCCGAACCTGTGGCCAAGATGATGGAGGAATCGGTGTCCACGTTTGAGACGCATCTGACGGCTGTCATGGACAGTCTGATCCGAGCCTCGGTGTGCGAGATCACCAAACTCTTCCAGGACATGGTGAACGACTACCTGGTGGAGCTGTCCCTCAACAGGAAGGAGAACGAGGCTCTCAAACAGCGGCTGAAGCTCACCGAGAACAAGCTGAGGACCGAGCGCAAGTACGGGATGGGCTGGGCTGCCAACCGCCGCAACGCCGGGCTGGCGGCAGCGGAGGAGGGAGGTGGAGGAGGAGGGCGGCAGAAACGAAAAGTTGAGGTGGCCCGTAAGTATTGAGGATGGCTTTTCCTCCCAAACAAGGAGGCATGCATCACCCTTAGTGTCATACATGTAATGCTGTACATCTGAATCTTCAGTGTGATTGTGTGTGTTAATGTGAGAAACAGGGATCTTGCTGTGCAGTCAGGGCTTATGTGAAGACGCACTTGTTTTGTTGGAAACCATCTGGCAAGAGCTGATCTCTCCCTCCCTCCTTCCTCTCTCCCTCCTCCCTTCCTCCTCCGCCTCCTCTTCATGTTCGCTCCCTCTGTCCTTCACCTCCCCCTCTCCTCTCTCTCTCTCTCTCCGCTGCATTCTGTCCCTCCCACTCCTCTGTGCTTCGGCACACTCTCTCCCTCCCTTCCTGCCGTGCTCCTCTCCCTCCCCCCCACCTCCTTCACTTCTCTCTGTCTCTCTCTCTCCAACTCTTCCTCCTCCCCTTCCCGCTCCTCTCTCCTTCACGCCCTCGCCTCCTTCCTCTCTCCCTGCCCCCACCTCCTCCTGCTCTGCTCTCTCCTTCATCACGTTGCACACACACACATGCACATACACACACTCCCCCTCCCTCACCTCCTCCTCCTCCACTCCACTCCTCTCCCGCTCCTCTCCACCGCCACCATAATTACATACTCCCTCTCCACTTCCACTTCTCCTCTCCCTGCTGTCTCTCTCTCTCTCCTCTTTTCACCTTCTCATCCTCACCCCTCCTCTTTCTCCTTCAACATGTCCTCCCTCTCCTCTTCCTCCTCCTCCTCTCCCCCTTGGCCCCCGCCAACTCCACTTCTCCCTGTCGTCTCTGCCGCTCTTGCTTTTCTCCTCCCTTTCACGTGTTTCTCTCTCCTTCCCGCTCTCTTGTCTGTCCTTCTACGCCCCCTCGCTCCATACTCGTTCATCATGCTCACTTCCTCCCCCTGCTCCCTTTCCTCTCTCCCTTCCCCCCAAAACCTCCTCTCTGCTCCTGTTTCGCTCTGTCTCTCCAACCCCTCCTCCTCCTCATCTCCCACTTCTCCACCCTCTTCTCTCCTTCATCTCTCTCTCCTGGCCTTGTAATCATCTCCTCCCACTTATCTCTCTCCCCCTCATATTTCATTCTCTCTCCTTCCTGTCTCCCCATGCACTCCCTCCTCACTTTCTCCTTCCTCTCTCACCTCCCTCCCACCCTTCCTTCGTCTTCCTCTCTTCTCCACAGGAGGCAAGTCAAAGAAGGGCCCAGCAGCAGCCTATGGCAAAGGCTGGCCTGGAGGTGTGTGGGAGGAAGGTGGAGGTGGAGGTGGCGGCAGCGGTGGTGGTGGAGGAGGAGGAGGAGGAGGAGGAGGAGGAAGTGCAGGAGCTGTGGGGATGGTAGCAGGAGCAGGAGGAAGAGGGGGGAAGGAGGCCAGGGAGATGTACCTCATCCAGTTCCCGGGAGATGAAGAGGATGAGGGAGGGATGGTGGAGGACGAGGAAGGGGAGGGCAGCCTCAGCGGTGAGGGGGAGGAGACGGCCAACATCAAAGAGGAGGTGAGGGAGACGGGCTTTCTCAGAGGAGGAGGAGGAGGAGGAGGAGTAGGAGGAGAAAGTGGCACAGCATCTCTGCACTGCTCAGCAGCTTCACACTGAACGCAAAAGAACATAGACAGTATAAAGAGAGATAACACAGAGAGAGTTGTGCCTGTGTTTTTTGGCCATCAAATCACTGCAGAGATGTGGTGGATGAAGGGAGCGCTATTGATTTGATATTTAGCTTCCAGAGGAGCCCGTTGAGGAGGGCCCTCCACATCTCAAGTGTGGCAAGCTTTTAGGTGGAAATACTACTGGAAGAGGCGAAAAGCTGTTTGCTATTTCACCACATGACCAAGTGGCAGAGCGCAGATCCACTCCTCACTTGTCGTTTGCATTTGAATATTCAGATCATGCAGAATGTGTTATTAGCCTTGCTGTGAAGTCATTACAATGTGCTTTTGATGGCTGATAAAAATGGCTTTACATAAATATAACCAATCATATAGCTTTATAGACCTTGCCACTGGAATTGCATTGCTAGGCAACAGCTTGGGTCCATGTTTACTTCCTGTCAGCTGATGTCATTTACATACACAGCGAAACATTCCAACAGGAAATACAAATGGTTTTGTTTTGTTTTCAGCTTTTTCGGTCTCACATGTTTGATACAAAATATATTAATAAATCAGTCTAAGTAGGGCCAATTTAGGGCGTGTGTCCACATAGTGTTTCTGCAGGGTGCTGGGGAGTGCTTCATCCCACAGCTTAATTTTTAAAAATCAGGTCAGAATCACAGGGCTGTTCTGTCTCTGTTGTGACAGTTTTTGTCAGACATATCATATAGCTCAGATAGACACAGCCGGAACAAGCTCCTCCCTCTGTTTTGGTTACCAGGGAGACGAGCCCTGGAAAAGGAGCAACAGTGACGACACCGGCGCCTTTCTGAAAAGTTAAGAGATATTCAACTAGAAGTGCTCGGAGCGGCTGCACAAAAAAGGAAAATTGCTCTGAAAAAAGACGCTGGGTGCAGCGCCTAGAGGGGCTGCATACACTCGTCTCATTGGGAACAATTTAAAAAAAAAAAGATGATTGCGTTCTTGCTCTCAGAAAAAACTGTGGACACATGCTCTTAGAGTGTTTATGCCGTCAAGTTTGAAACAGTCTCTTCCCAGTTGCGTTGTAAATATGACTTTGTATGGTAGCGTCAGAACATATAGCTATGATGAGTGTTATATGTACATTACCAAACCATTTTGAAAAAGGCATTTACAAATGAAGGAATACATATCATAGTCTACCTGGTTTGAGGTACTCACTCAAGTTAGTATGTTCTCTCTTGTTCCCAACGCAGTTTGCACAAACAGAGGGCTATCAACCTGCCTCTCTCCGACTAATCAAGGAGGCTTTGAAGATGGACCCGCCCAACCAGAACTTCCACCCCGGCTCCAGAGCCCAAAGCGAAGGTAATGAGCCCAGGACACACTGATTGAAGGAGGGGAAGTTAGTGAAATGTTTGGAGACCAATAGAAAGAAAGTGTAACTGATTACTTTCCCTCCCCCTCTGTTTGTCTCTACTCAGGAGATATGTCAGATCATCCACCAACCCTTCATTCAGGGGATAGAGAGGACGAGGACTGGGAGGTGGGTTCATCAGAGCCGTCGCAGGGGGGCATGACCATGGATGAGCTGAGGGGTCTGGAGTCCGCACTGAGGGCTGAAAGAGGGCGTGAAAAGGCTGCCATGACGGCGCCTCATCCTGTCAGTCCTGGCTCAGTAGTGGTGCGAGGCAGCGAGAGCAGCCTGGCCCCCAAGTACATTGGTCTTGATGGAATGGAGCAGGACGAAGAGCTGGAGCCACCCACCCTGCAGAGAGAGGAGCAGATAGGACAGGGCAGGTTGAAGGACGCAGTGAGGGCCGGAGTGGAGCTGAGGTTAGGCTGGTCGAAGAAGTTGAGGGAGGGCGACTCGGCTGCGGGCATGACTGGAGAGGATGTGGTGGAGCAGGGAGAGTCGGAGCACCTACCCCACCTGTCTGCTCCGGGGAGTGTCGGGGAGAGTGGAGGGGAAGAGGAGGGTGGTGGGGACCTGCTCCACTTCTGCCCACAGTGTGGAGGAGGCTTCACCTCAGAGGCTGAGCTGGAGGAGCACCCCTGTCCACTCGGAGGCTCTCATTTACAGGGCAGCGAGGAGGATGGTCTTTTCCCTTGTGCCCACTGCGGCAACACGTTCAGCCACGCCTGGGCTCTTAAGAACCACGAGTGCGCCTGTGCCGCTGAACGGCCGCACTGCTGCGAGATCTGTGGGAAACGCTTCACGCACTCGCGCTCACTTGAACGGCATCACCTGGTGCACACAGGCGAGAGGCCGCACCGGTGCCCTCAGTGCGGACGCAGCTTCAGTCGCCTGGGCAATTTGGAACGGCACCAGCGGATTCACACAGGCGAACGCCCATACGGGTGTGATGCGTGTGGAAAGCGTTTCAGTCGCGTGGAGTACTTGAAGAGACACCAACTCATACACAACAGTGAAAAGGCGACACTCCAGTGCTCCAACTGTGGAAGCGGCTTCAGTGACATGGAGCAACTGAAAAACCACCAGTGTTTTTAGAGCACATCCTTCAAATCTCTGATCGAACTGGAAAGAAAAAGCAGGTTTTTAATTGAATGTGGCAGAATTCAGGGGATGAATGTGAGTGGAGGATGCTCATTTTATTTTCAGTGACTTTGGAGTTGCCTTTCTTATATGCTTTGACAGGATGAAGAAGTTAAATTAAGTTAAAGACAAGGAACAGGTACATGTGTGGAAGATTATTGTTGAATAAAAACAAAGAAGGTAAATGTCCAAAGTTGACAGGAAGACAGTTGTACATGGTGTTTCTCTGTGAGGGGAGGAATAAAATCAATCTCAAATGTTCTTCAGCCATATTAATTTGAAGTGTTCTCATTTGTATGTACAAAGCTTGTACTTATTTATGATCAATAAATTGTACATTCTTTTGCCTTTATATCAATAAGTCACTCATGTTGCAGCCGATGCCCTTGTTTTTTGCTGATACAATATAATTGTCAACTTGGTATTTTGTATGTTTGTGTTTTGGTCATATTAAGAAATAAATATTTCTATTCATCAGAAGGCTCATTACCAATTTCAGTGTTGGTTTATTGTTTAAAATCACAACATGACATTGATAAAAGAGGGAAGAAAAAGAATTTTGCAAGATCATAATCATCAGAAATATTAATTTCCAGCCATTATGAGACAAGACAACATTATAATTAAACACTCATATAGTAGCTAAAGCATGAGGGAGTCATTCTAAAGGGACAGTTCACCCCAAAATTAAACACAAATTTTCTTCTATTTATCAGTCTAGGTTGTTTTGGTGTGAGCTGCAAAGTGTTGGAGATATCAGCAGTAGAGATGTCTGCCATCTCAAATATAATGGAACTAAATGGCATTCAGTTTGCGGAGCTTATAGTGACAAAACAATATATTTGAAAAACTCAACAGCAATGTTTTTTCCAGAATTAGAATCAGAGTAAGAAATACTTTATTGATCCTCAGGGGGAAATTGTGTAACCATGACCCGATTATGCAAGATAATCATTAGACCTTGATATGAGCAGTTACCAAACTACACCCACCAACTTTATCACTGCGTAGAACAAAGCGTGCATCTACTGCTTGCTCACCCAGCAACACTGAGCTAGCTAGTGTTACAGCTCAGCTGAGGAGGAGCCATTGTGAGCACGAGCCTCTTGTCCATGAGTAGATGCACGCTTCCTTCTGCGTAGTGATACAGTTGGCAGGTGTTGTGTGGTAAAGTAAAGAGTTCCTACATGAAACTGTTCACAACAAGGTCTGTGGATTATCTTGAGTAACCAGGTCATGATTTCTGGAAAGAGACATTGCTGTTACGATTTTAAATTGCTTTTTCTTTTTTGGCACCTTGAGCACCACAAACTGAGCGCCATCTAGTTCCATTATAATCCAGAGAAGGCAGACATCTCTACGGCTGATATCTCCAACATTCAGCAGCTGACACCAAAACTGTCCAGACTGATACATAGCACTGCAAGTAAGAGGGAAAGTATGAATTTTTGGTGTCCCTTTAAGACACTGAGTAGACACTACCTCAGAAGAACCCTGGCTATGATGGATGAACTGTGTGCAGGTAAGTTAACTAGAGCGTCTCACCCACACTGCCCTTTAAACAGACTGATTGGCATTTTCAGCCTTGTTTGCAAAATGCCCTCCAGGGTCTCTAAAGACATCCGCCTCACATCATAGCCCCTCACTGAGGCCTTCGCCTTGACATCAACCGGCACAATCTCCTCTCCACTGTTGCGGTCATTTCTTCCCACTACAGCGTATGTGGGGAAAAAGAGCCTCACAGACTCAGGGAGGTCAGATCTGTAGGATGGGCAGCAGTAGGCAGACCACATATACTCGGGAACAGACACCCTGTTATTGATCCAGCGGGGCCCAGACTCATAAGGCATGGCTCCGGTGATCACATACATGGACCCGTTGCAGAAGGCCTTGAATTTTCTCAACACCTCATTCTCCAGATGACTCCAGGGGCCTGAGTTGGAGCCTTTCTGCTGAGGGACAATGTTTGTCAGGGTGAAGGTGGCCTCTCGGTCCTCTTTTGTCTTCTGGTGTAAGCTGGGGTTGAGATGGCCCTTGGTGAACTTGGAGTTCTTGTAGTCGTCAAGCACCGCCTGGCTCTCAATCACGTTCTGGTCCACGGGGTAATGGAACTGTTGCATCTCTGGGCTGGCACGGGAAAATGCCAACTTGATGACAAAGACAGAGAAGGACATGTCACCGTTTAGAAGCTACAAATGAGTGTTTTGCTGCTTATTGATCCCTTAATACTGCTTGAGTTGAACAGTAATGTGAGTCTGTGTACTTGGGTGTGACTTATTCATTAAGTCTAAAAAAGAAAAATGGAAACAGAACTAATGAAATTTCCACCTTCCTTTCTAAGTAATCTAACAAGATGAGAAAAAAAAGGTGTAAAAACATTTTTGTATTAACACTTTGAGATAGGCTGCCTCTACTTCTGCTTGAAGGTTACGTTAAACAGTACATTTGTGCAAGTCATACGTCGACCACAATGACACTCTGAGTATGGGAAGTGCTAGTACTCTTTTTCACATTTACCATCATCGTCTTACAACCCCAGAATAAATTCCCATTAGATCTACAAGCAAATGAAGCATTTTCATGTGTCTGTGAGATCTTCCATTTCCAATTTATGAAGACAAACTTAACTCTTAAACACTCTTGACACAGTCCCACACAGTGTTATTCTCACCTGTGGTTCATACTTCCATGATGAAATGGGCCGTTTGCCATCTGCAGGACTGAGTATGTACGCAGAGTACAAAGGTGCACGATGCTGACGGTGATACAAACTGGCAAAGTGGTACTGGTTTTTGTAGCGCTGGCATATTGGCTGGTATCCTGCTGCACTGATACCTGTCGGAGGAGTTCCTTTATAAAAGAAACGGTGGCACTTGGAGAAGCTGTTGCTAATCTCTCCAAAGACCATGTCACCAAAACAGGATAGGAGCAGAAACACAGCTCCTGCTGATAATTGCAGCATCTTCCTTTGAGACATCCTGCACAACAGAGCAGAAACCACCGTACCTGTGCTGGAGAAAGAGATGCTTATTAGTTCACAGAGAACACACACTTTATTCCTGATACCCTCTCAAACCCAAACTTACTACAGTTTCTTCTTCCAAGCTGAATAGCAAGATGTATTTATTTGCAGAGTAGCTCAAACACAGACCAGAAACCTCTTGGCAGCTCTTCAGTTAAAAAGCCTCTAAGGTTGGTAGGACACTGTCAGCATCAGCCCACAAACCACCATGTGAACAATGTCACAATTCATCACTCACTTCCTCACTTGCTTCAGGGATGTCACACTAGTTACCCACTTTTAAAAATGTAACAAGTAATATAATCATTTTGATAACTTTTTCAATAACTTGCAAATCAACAGAATGAATGTTATATTCTGCATAACATTTTACTGATATACTTTGGAAGGCGAAGCTTTCGATTTACTCGTCCATCCATGTCCCAACCCTCACCTCTGGTCATGAGCTCTGGGTAGTGACCGAAATGTATCGCGGATACAAGCAGCCGAAATGAGTTTCCTTCGTGGGGTGGCTGGGCTCAGCCTTAGAGATAGGTTAAGGAGCTAGGACATCCAGAGGGAGCTCGGAGTAGAGCTACTGCTCCTTCACTTCGAAAGGGGTGAGTTGAGGTGGTTCGGGCATCTGATCAGTATCCTCCATGGCGCCTCTTGCTGGAGATGTTTCAGGCACGTCCCATTGGTAGGAGGCCCCGGGGCAGACCCAGAACACAGTGGAGGGATTACATATCTCATCTGGCCTGGGAATGCCTCGGGGTCCCCCAGGAGGAGCTGGAAAGCGTTTCTAGGGAGAGGGACGTCAGGGGTGTTTTGCTCGGCCTGCTGCCCCTGCGACCCAGCTGCGGATAAGCGGATGATGGATGTATGGATGTAATTTAAATTACATATATTTTTTCAGTAACTGCAACTGGTTACAGTTACCTGTATTTTGTTTACATGTAACTACAGTAGTTACACATAACTATGTAAACCCCAACACTGACCTCTATCACCACCACTGCCATCCATCTTGCCAACAAAACAGTAGTGACTGTAGAGGCAAGTAAATACTCCCACTGTGTGCACAGGATAAATGATTGGGACATTTTATAATTGATATGGCTGTCAAGAATGTACCTGCCTCTAATTGCATATTTGATTTTTGCAGGGAACACAGAGAAGTGAGGAATCATGGTAAGTCAATATGTGTGTCAGAATGTTTAATCAGTCAAATTAGTGCCTGTGAAGTGCTCATCACAACAAGTGTCCACCAAAACTGTATTAACATCATTGAAATTGCCACAAAAACATCTAAAAGGACACCAAATTGTTCTTCTAATCAAAACCCAAAAGCCACCAAATCATCATAAGGCTCTTACTAAATACAACAAAGAAACAGTACAGGAGAACATAATACCACTCCTCTCTGTTATAATATGAAGCTACAGCCAGCAGCTGGTTAGCTTAACATAGAGACTGGAAGCAGAGGGGAAACAGCCAGCCTGGCTCTGTTGAAAGGCAACAAAGTCCACCTAATAGCACCTCTAAAGCTGCCTCATAAATGTGTTTCATAAATTTTGTTTAAAAAAAAATTTCATACAAAAGCAGAAGTGTAAACGCAACAACTCATGGTTTTATGTGCACAATTTTTTTGGCCTGCAACTTTGTGGAGGCTTGTTGTCATCATGAGGTTAACAGGCAATCAGCAAAGATGCCAGCAAGTCTCTGCTACGTTTTTACAAACGGAAATTTGTACAGATTAAAAGCTAATTATAGGCTTACATGCTAATTAATTAGTTTTAAAGAGGCTGGTAGGCAGATTTTGATATCGTTGGACAGAGCCAGACTAACTGGGCTATGCTTATCTAAGCTCAAGGGACTGTTTTCTACTTATCAGAGGAGGGGTTGGCTGGGGTGGAATTTTATATTGTTTTATTTTGACTCTCCAGGAAGCTACAAATATTTTTCCTTGAGCATCCCTGAGTGACTGGCAGAAAATGCATGACCTTCCCTCCACCATAAATTAGTCATTAGATTTTCAAAACTTTCCCTTTGACGTTTGAAAGTTAAAAGTTGAAGACAAAAATTTAAAGTTGAAAATTTTTCACTCACTTGCATTCTGGTTATATAGAGCAAATGGTCTATTGTTGGCCAAATTTTAAATGAGACGTAGATTTGGGTATGTTTTTTTTCTGACATATGATGTGTCCAAGGACTGTCAGGAATTTGAAAATCTAATGATAATTTCAATATTTACAGTTTCCAGCTACAATAAATGGTTTAATTTTGGCGATTTTTAAAGAGAGCATAGCTTCCAATCCTGCGCGGGTGGGTTTGGAAAGCATGTTTTCTTCAAAAATCTGCAATGTAATAAAAACAAAATACAACCATTTAAATTTTTTTGCCCCTCCCTAAGCCAAAATAAAATATAAGATAAGACATAACACCCTCACAAGTGCTTAAAAAATTATTTGACGTGTCTCCCCCTTTTTGCACGACTTTTTGCAAATTATTTTGGGGACGATGCACAACTGAAACATCAGCTGACATGATAAGTCATTTAAACTGGGTCCTGCTTGAGGCCCTCCTCGTCTAGAAAAGGGTCCTTGTGTCAAGTTGAGATTCAAGAACTGATTTTTTCTCAGTTTTTTGCTTAAATGTAACATATTCCTGAATGTATTTATCTAAATTACACAGCCAACCTGGAACCACTTAGTTTTCCAGCACAGAAAAACTTTACATTGCACAGACAGAGGGATAAACCGGCAAGGAGGAACAGGTGCCTATTCATTTGCTCTGCTTCGGGCTCCCCAACAGGTTGATCCAGCCATACAAGGTAGGGTAGTTGTTAACGTACACGTGTAATAATTAACTAATTAAAAAAACAACCAGACAAAGACACACTCAGCACTCCAGGTGGCACCAGGGGGACATTTGCCTAGGGTGCCGAATGTGCTAGGTCCTGCACTGCGTTGTGCTGTTCACTTTATGCATGAACAAAATGTGAAATGTGCAACCATTATTTGGAGGTGTTTGCATTTGAGTGAACAAACTTAGTGTTTATTTACAATTAAATAAACACGTTCTTTTTCTTAAGAAGGCTCTCATCTTCACCATTTCCATTTTGTTTTATTGGTAAAATCATGTTACAAGATGACACTGACAAGAGGGGAAAACTATTTATTTTACAAAACTCTAATTATAAAAAAAATGTTTTCAGCAACATATCTGTGTCCTGATTAATCACACACTCATTAAGGAATTAAACATGAAAAGATGTGCTGTACATGGTGATTACTGAGTGCACACCCATAGCAGTTAATATTTGATTTCAAGAAGGAACTTAAGCTTTTCACCTTCGCTACTGACACCGCCCATGAAACAGACTGATGGGCATGGCCAGCCTTTGTGTCAGGATGCCCTCCAGAGTCTCTAAAGACATCTGCCTCACATCATAACCCCTCACCGAGGCCTTCGCCTTGACATCAACCGGCACAATCTCCTCTCCACTGTTGCGGTCATTTCTTCCCACTGCAGCGTATGTGGGGAAAAGGGGCTTCACAGACTCATGAAGGTCAGCTCTGTAGTATGGGCAGCAGTAGGCAGACCACATGTACTCGGGAACAGACACCCTATTTTTGATCCAGTGGTATTCAGACTCATAAGGCATGGCTCCGGTGATCACATACATAGACCCGTTGCAGAAGGCCTTGAATCTTCTCAACACCTCATTCTCCAGATCACTCCAGGGGCCTGAGTTGGAGCCTTTCTGCTGAGGGACAATGTTTGTCAGGGTGAAGGTGGCCTCTCGGTCCTCTTTTGTCTTCTGGTGTAAGCTGGGGTTGAGATGGCCTTTGGTGAACGTGGAGTTCTTGTAGTCGTCGATCACCGCCTGGCTCTCAATCACGTTCTGGTCCACAGGGTAATGGAACTGTTGCATCTCTGGGCTGGCACGGGAAAACGGCAACTTGACGACAAAGACAGAGAAGGACATGTCACCGTTTAGAAGCTACAAATGAGTGTTTTGCTGCTTATTGATCCCTTAATACTGCTTGAGTTGAACAGTAATGTGAGTCTGTGTACTTGGGTGTGACTTATTCATTAAGTCTAAAAAAGAAAAATGGAAATGAAACTAATGAAATTTCCGCCTCCCTTTTCCTAGTTATCTGACCAGAGGAAAAAAAATGTATGACAGCATTTTTGTATTTGCACTTTGAGATAGGCTGCTTCTACTTTAGGGTAATGGTAAAAACTTTATTTCAGGCTGAAGCAGGGTAGTTATACACACCTCATACAGATGCAAGACTATTAGAAAACAGTGTGAATGTTACTCAGACAGCGTGTCAGTTTACACTTGTTACATTCTGTCTTTTCAAAGGTTTCACAAGAAACTGACACTATCTACTCTTAACATGAAGTCTTTTTCAAAATAAACTTACAACATAGGCAAAATTCTTCATTTTTCAATTGATTTTCTTAAATTTAGTCTTTTTAACAAAAGCATGTGGTTAGGTTAAGAAAAAAACATGTCATGGTTTGGCCTAAATTCACATGGGGACCAAACAGCGGGCTCCCGTAGAAGTGTGGAGTTTGTTTGACCCATCCACCTCGCTCTTTAGTTGCCATTACAAACTGCTACCACTGACTGACATTGGTAATTGACAACTTGGGATGTTAACCCCTGCTGCTAAATCTGATGTGCCTGGTGCGTATGATATGGCTGCAAAAGGTGCCTCTGTGAAATGGTCTCTAATGCTGGAATTACTGATAAAGCGACACCTTCTGTCACATCGTCTCTTATTGCCTTAAAACATAAACACAAATTTAGTTACTTAGACAGTACAGTAATTACAGTACAGTAATTCACTGAACAAAGGAAATGATGCTTTGTTGTAGAAAAACCATAACCAGAACAAGCTTTTCTTTACTCTGCCATTATTGGAGCTATTTTTTCCTTCTAATCTATATAATCAGTGGACACTAGGGGCGTAAACATAGACAGTGCAGACGGTGTGCTTGCACTGGGGCCTGTGAGGTGCAGGGGACCTTAGAGAGAGTGAGCCCCCAGTGACTTGTTGAGCAGAGAATGGGCCCTTATGAGAGAGACTGTCACCTTGGAAACATGCCTATGTTAAAAGATGAACTCTCATTTAAAATGATGCTTTTGCTGAATATGGCCTCGAAAAAGGCAAGCCCATCATCCCTCTTGTTTTTTTGTTTGTTTTTGGTAAAATAGTCAGTACCATCTATAAAAAAATCATATGCTTATTCTACATAAACTATAAATATACTATTAAAATTATTAAATTAAATGAATAATTTCTTATTTTCTTTAGAAATGTGATATACAGATATGAAATCATGATTGCTCTAAAATGTGTGTTGACATTGTCCAGTGTCATGCCTCTGTTTGATAATGTGACCAGATGATACGTGCATAATAGCATTCACTGGGGCCCATCGTAACTACATTACGCCACTGGTGTACGCTTGGTTTATTGGGTACATCTATTTAAAACTAATGCAGCCTACCACACAGCAGCCCAGCAATAAATCATTCTTTCATCAAGATTGTAACAATAAAGTTAAAACTTTTTTTCACAAGGTGTTTATTACACTTTAGGATAATTTTAGATGATGTCGTTTGTGGTGCTGTTGACCTGTGTTGCATTATACAGAGGTGTGTTTCTGATATTTAACCCACTCCCATTGATATAAATGGGTTGGACAAAATAATACTAAATATAATATAATAAACCAGCAACTGGGTGTATAGTCTGAGCATATCTTAACACATTATATCAAACACAGTAATGCTCAATTGACTCCAGCTTTAAAGATAGTGGTCTCTCTTAGATACCACACACTGTTTTACTTACCTGTGGTTCATACATCCAAGTCTTTCTGGGTCGTTTGCCATCTGCAGGGCCGAGTATGTACGCAGAGTACAATGGTACACGCTGTTGACGGTGATACAAACTGGCAAAGTGGTACTGGTTTTTGTAGCGCTGGCATATTGGCTGGTATCCTGTTGCATTGATGCCCCTCGGTGGAGTTCTATTATAGAAGAAGTCGAGGCACTGAGAGAAGTCGTCACTGATCTCCCCAAGGACCAGGCCACCAAACCAGGGGAGGAGAAGAAGCAGGGCTCCTGTGGATGTTTGCAGCATCTTCCTTTGAGACATCTTGCACAAAAGGGCAGCAGGTCATTTGTTGACAGACTTCCTCTCAGACAAAGCTCCAGAGTTAGATAAAACCTATATTTCCTTTGTGTCCATTCAGTGTCACCGAGGTTTCCTCTTATATACCCTGACAGCAGGAACCCTGTGGGTGAGAGTAAACCACCCCCCAACCCTATCAAACTTCCCCTGTTAACAGGCAGTCAGGCTGCCTTTTGGGAAACAATGGGTCTGCTTATCCTTTTTTCATTAGTCAGCTGAGGTGGAGGCCATTTTGTTTCAAGTCTTCAGTCACATGTTAGTAAGGTGGGGAAAGAGAAGACGTGCTCTAAAACTTGAGCTAAACCTCAACGCTGACCTTATTTGATTTTGATTAGAATATCTCATATCTACCATCCTACATGCTATTTAAATGCTGCAGGAACTGACAGTGCAGTTTCTGCTTGCTCACTGTTGTAGATGTAGATGTTGTTGTTGTCTCGCAGACATCCCCTCCAGGACCAGATTTTTATAGCTGCAGGGACTACAGGCCTCTTGAGGTGCTGCAGCATTTCCCTGCAGAGCGCCTGTCCCCAGCTTTCTCACATTTTGTCTAAAATAATGAAACATCTTGAAGTGTGGAAAAGCCACGACTACCTTGCATGATGCAGAGCTCCGTATGGATCGCAGTGAGCTGCTTGTGATGCTAACACATACTTTTATTCTTGCATTTATACATCCCAAACTACCTCTGGGAGTTGTTTTGATGCATCCTCGGATGTTTACTGGCAATAATCTGCTGATTGATATCATCTCACCAACACACTCCACTGAGCAAGTCAGCAAGTTTCGTTTTCTGTCTCCAGTTTCTGTGTGGTCTTGTGTTTCTACTGTCATCAAAACTTCCCTCATTGAACCAGAAATATTTTCCAGAACATAAACGCTCCATATAGTACTTCCATTATTTCTTAACTTACTTTACCAAAAGTCTGTACTGTCTTTATTTTGTTATGTGCTTTATCTGTTTGTGGGAAAATCCCCAGTTTCAGTCATTCTGCTCCAATTTGCCCAAAAATGATATTTTTATTGTATTAAGAAATTGTAGAAATGATGTAAAAATGGGGGAAACCAGAGTGATGATTACTGCAAACAGGGCTGCCAATAGGGTGGGGGCATGCAGGCCAGCAATAATCATGGTTATCCTAAAAGAAAAAAAAAAAAGCGATATTGATGACCACATTTTATTCAGATATTGAAATTATTCAAAATATTCACCATTATTTATTTAAAAAAAACAAACAAATACTGTACTTATTGCTGCTCTAGTAAAATGTAGCCAATTTTGATCATGAAATCTCCTCAAAACTCCTGAGTCAGGTTTTTTTTGTACACAACTATTGCCAATAAAAAAATTGCAATAGCTGCAGGTGGGGCATGAGAAACTTATTGATCTTAACTAGGAGAAAGAGCACCATCGTGAGTATGAGTATGTAAATACATGGATATGAGTAAAGCAGATTTTGGGAGAGCTTTTTCATTGGACCATTTCAGACATTGCTGTGGGTGAGTCTGACTACAAATAAAAGCCCAGAAGTAGATTTGGGACCAGAATGTACATAGGGGTGGAGTGAAACTATACCGAAAGTACTGATACTACGATTTTATGTCTTATTTTGAGTATGGATAAGAGTGTGAAAAGGAATAATACAAAAAAGTATTTATGTCATGTCAGATCATGCTCTGGGCTCATGAACACACTTTTTTTTGTCATTTTCAGATTAAATATTCACTCGAAAGGAAGACACAGGAAGAACACATCCCCTTCCCCACTGAAAAATGATATATTTATTTCCATTTGTGATTTGTAAAGGTTCTCTTACGGCTAGAAATCAGAAATGTTGCTCCTTTTAATACACCCTGCCAGGACGAATGGTGATTTCCTGGACACACACATTTATAAATTCATCGCTGTAATATTACTTGGATTAGTTGAGATTTAACAATTTAAACTGTTTAACTTTCTTCTGTAGATGTTAATCACATTATCTAACAGTATATGTGACAATTCATGGACATATCCACATATTCTCAGTATAATTCTAGCTGAACTTGAATTATTCGCTCAACCTACGCTGCATAGGACAAGTGAGTAGCTCAAGTTCAACTCAGTTATACTGTATAGTTAAACATCTGAAGACAAAGCAAACCAGCTGAATCAACTAATAAGCTGTTGAAATGTTACAACTACTGCAGGTGGACTATCCAAATAAAGTTTTACCAATTCATAGCATAAAACACTGCCTTGGCGTTTAAGTTGTGATTAATACCTGAACATTTGGTTGTATTTCTTGCCAGAGGAGAAACTCCAGGGACAAACTGAGCTCTGTATGAATATTTAATTTGATCTTTGAGATGTGGCAGGTTTATTGAGGCCATCTAGTGAGCACTCAGGGACATGACAATTGGCAGCAGGGACAGGGACACAAATGCTGTGGCCTAATGGTAAGGTCAGTGAAACTAGTTGAACTATGAGCAATAATATTTACTGTCACTGGTGATGAGTTGTAACCTGTAGATGGCCTGGAATTACCATAGTTTCAGTTTCCACACGCAGGAGAACTGCTGACCACACGGAAAGCACATGAGATCAGATGTTTGACTGTTTATCATAACAAAGACTTTAGCTACCTGTTTGATAGTGATAGGAAAAATAAACCCTTCAAACAAAGACAGGATTGACGTCTGCATGTAGAAAACACTTTTATGACCCCTGGTGCACAAAAAAGCTGCCTGTTAGATAACTATCTCTTTTTATATTATCTTGCTTGCAAGAGAAAATGGAGTATGACAGAAATTCTAATAAAAGACCCTCCCTCAGATGCAGCAAAAAAAAAAAAAAAAGACAATACTTCTAACCTCTCCCAATAATAGTCATACATCCCTCCACTTGCTGACTTACTCTGTGTCAGCTTGTTTCTCTTCTTCTTTGTTTTGTGTTGACTGACTCAGCGGCTGTAGGGTGTGTTTGACTCATTTACCTGTTGAAATAAAGTTGTACACTACAGCTTCACTCTGAAGCACAAGTAATGAGTGAGTTGGGTCAGCTAGAGAACAGTTAGCTGCACCGCAGTAAGTAGTTATGAGTAAATATTTAACTATTTACACTTATAATATCTGTGTAAAGAACTAGCTTGTGCAACCTGTTTTAAGTTAATGATGCCTGAACGACCATTTCGCAGCTTCTATTGCAACCGGCTTTTGAATTTGAACCGTGTTTTCCACAGTTTTAAATACTGTAGGGATTTAAAACATATAGGGAGAAAAAAAATTAATCATGTGCTCATACATGAACACAGAGGCTGGACAGCCAGTGCAAGCCAATCTAAGCTGTTAAACAGTTTGTCAAACAACTGTCTTTACTCTCAGAGAGAAGACAGGTATAACCCCATTTACAAAAAAGTTGGGACGCTAGGTAAAATGGTAATAAAAACAGAATGCAATGATTTGTAAATCTTCTTTGACCTTTATTTAATTGAAACTGTTAATTAAATAATGTTTGACACATTAGTACACAGATTAATTGTCAATATTAGAGACCCAACTTCCTGTCCCAACTTTTTTTAAATGTCTTGAAGGCATCAAATCCATAATGAGTGTAGATTTACATAAAACAACAAAATGTGTTAGTTTGAGGAGTAAAAATCTCGTCTTTGGACTGTATTTAATTGAATATAGATCAAAAGGGATTTACAAATCATTGCACTCTGTTTTTATTTATGTTTTACACAGTGTCCCAACTTTTTTGGAATAAAGTCATACAGTCAGAATATGTGTCCATCCCTCGATTTCCTGCAATTCAAAAGAATCAAAAGTGTTTTTCATAACAATTAATCCAAGTTATAACTGCTGTTTTAACAGGATAAAGTGGTGTTGTGTCTGTAGGCCAGGTGCCATGAAACAAGTATTGCAACATGACACATAATTAATGTGTTTCTGAAGCCTGATTTTTATACACGTAATATTCATACTGGTTCAAATAAACAATTAGCTAATATTTCCCATCTTTGCTGAGCAACAGTTTTGTGTAAATGGAATTAAAGCCTGTCCCACACCCTCTAGAGTCCCTGTGTCCTCATATGAGAACATCACATTTTGGGTTTACTTGACCTTATATTTTATTCTGTTTAATTTAGGCCTGTTGTCCTCGTGCATGGACACTTTTTGTCCCATCTAGTGGCCCTGGCAGAGTGTTAAAAAGACGATCAATCTTGACTATCTAGAGGAAGCAAAAGTTGTAACAAGGTTTCCATCGGTGAATGGAAGGATAATTTGCACAATGTAGTAATCCATGTAAAAACAAGATGGCAGCCATCTCTGCCAAGTCAGTCTGCAGTCAGTCCTGACACAAAAGTAGACAAGGTCCCAAACCTGATCACATTTTATGGTTGAAACTTATTTATTTATGATTAATAATGTTTGTAGTTTGATATGACAACAAATTTGACCAATTTTAGTAACAGCAACAAGATAAGACGCTGTTTATTAGGAGTACTTGTCTGAGGACATTGGGACTTTATTATCGACTCGTTTGAGGACACTGGGACTGTTTTTTTTTATCTTTGTCAAAGTTTCGTTTTTATACTTACCAGGTCCCACTGATCCCAAATAGCTGGGAAGTTCGGGTCTCAGGAGGATATAGATGCCTGTCCCAAATATAAGCCCGTTGAGTTCAGTGATTTAAGTTTTTTGAAGTTTTAAGGTAGATTAACCCTTAAAAACCTGAGCAAATTGACCTGAGTCAAGAACATAAGAAAAAGGCAATGAGCAACTTTACAAGAAATTATCCAAGAATTAGCAAGAAATTAGGGAAAGTTACAGAAAAAATATTGGACATATACAGTACAGGCCAAAAGTTTGGACACACCTTCTCATTCAATGCGTTTTCTTTATTTTCATGACTATTTACATTGTAGATTCTCACTGAAGGCATCAAAACTATGAATGAACACATGTGGAGTTATGTACTTAACAAAAAAAGGTGAAATAACTGAAAACATGTTTTATATTCTAGTTTCTTCAAAATAGCCACCCTTTGCTCTGATTACTGCTTTGCACACTCTTGGCATTCTCTCCATGAGCTTCAAGAGGTAGTCACCTGAAATGGTTTCCACTTCACAGGTGTGCCTTATCAGGGTTAATTAGTGGAATTTCTTGCTTTATCAATGGGGTTGGGACCATCAGTTGTGTTG